TAAGGCCGTAGTACAGCGCACAGGTATAAGTCAGTAGAGGCCTAGGTCATATGCATGCAGTTCAGAGATATACAAGAAAGTGCCATGAAGCTTTCTGTTCATATGGTTGTAGCAAAAAAGTAGGAACACCAGGACAAAAAAAAATATTATTTCACCCTTGTATAAGTCGAAATATCCCCAAGGCTGTTAACCCACAAGCACTAGAATGAGTGGCTGCCCTCCATCTTTATGAGCAGTGATGACAGGACTTTTAAAGTAAAAGCCATTCATGTTGGTGTTTGAAAAGATGTAGACAACTTTGAAATTCTGATATGACAATAACAGGAGAAAGAATGAGGACATGTGAGCAGCTATGAATAATACAGAAATTAGACTTAAATAGATACTTTTTTCCAAATTCAATGATGCTCATAAGTCGATGTATGCATACACTTTATCTGCCTAACCGGCGGCTCTGGTGTGAGGCTAAGGTATAGTAATTTGTTTTTTAGTGTAACAAATTTACTTAACATATTAGACACCCACCTCACAATATTAATATATTTCCATCCTCTTTTAATCCAGATAAATCAAAGATTTATCCGGCAAGTGTTGGTGTCAATTCAACACCGTAAATGCACTCTGCCCTCTTTGTGCCCTCTTGCTATGACTTATCAAAGCTCTGCAGATCCATTTCTCCACCAAGAGTCTCTGATGAGTCATTATGAGACATCTAATCCTGTAAGATCACATAATGCCTTAGTCATTGGCCATGAATGACATGTTAAAATGAATTCTAAGGTGGGTAGGCACCAGTACACTGTAGGGAGCCTAAAATGGGCATGATATGTTCCTGTTTATTCTTATCACATATTAAAACAGTCACTTTAACATAACTAAATCTTAAGACTTGAAGATTTGGTTCAGGCTCAGAAACAAGTGTTTATTTTTGTTTAAAAAGAAATTTATCTAAGGCTCTCTCCTGTGTTGTGTAATAAAATCAGTTATCCTTAATTTCAAGATTTAAAAGCTGTTAAAATTGAAAAGTAAAAACTATTAAATTTGTGCACTGCACCTGAAGAGCAACATCTGCCACTTCTCATTGCACACCATTCATGCAGAGCAATGGAAACAGAAAATTGGAAATCAAATGAAATTCCTTATTTTTCTATAGTCCAACAAATAAATCTTAGTTTAAATGTTAGTTTCAAGCTGGCCTGCTATTTTTCCTGTGAAGCTAAGCAGAATAAAGGGTTTCAAATGCAAGTAGTTACAGTAGTAGTAACTGTAGAGTCACAACTCCTGCGGGTTCCCACACAGCTTCCATCCCACACAGCTTCCATTTTAATGGCGTATACATTTGCTAATGTCAAGTTTTTGCCAGGAACAGCAAATTACAGTGGTTTCCAGTAGGGGTTGTGGCATTAACAATTTTCTTTTGTAGTGTTTTTCAACAACCTTCAACACTTACCTTAAGCAACCTTAAACCTTTCTTCCACCTGCCAATGTAAAACAATCTGCCTTCCCAGGGACTAATGTATATGACACAATATACAGATATCAACACCTGCTACAGGCCTCGTGTTAACCCATCACCATATATTCTGCAAAATATCATGTGATGCACACCCTTTTAAGTACCTTTGAATAGAAAAGCATCTGCTTAATATGTAAATCTGAGTGAAGTTTTGACTCGACGCTTTGCACATTATGCCTTCGGGGATGTTAAAGCATGACTTCAATGATTGATTCATGAAGCTCTTTAGGAATTTAGAAGATTAAATCATCAGCATGATCTGGAGAATCACCCCACTGGCACAGAGTCAAAAGACAGGAGTGTCAAGTAGGAAGAGGAGATGAAGCGTCTAATTCTAGTGACTTGAGCCTACTGCACCTGGAGCCTGGGAACACAATCTTTCCTCACCAGGGACATGCTCAGACATGTACAGAAAGCTGAATATCATATGTTAGCTTTGTAGAGTGCTGCTTCTGCTACAAATCTTAGTTCACATCTAGTTCTTTCTCAATTCTCTTATACATGCAGTACCAGGTAAATATCACCAAGCCCCATATGGACTGACACAGTCTTGGTCCAAACATAGGAACTGATCTTCTGCATCTTGTTTGACACATGCATGCTGCAGCTGTCAAAATGCACACGTCATATTTCACAAGATTGTATGTGCTCTACAGGGACATACAGGATTTTTAAACATGTAAATGCAGATGGTCCGTCTTCTACTACCACTACTATCACTGTGAAGCACTTTGTAATCCTGGTTTTGAAAAGTACTATATAATCTCATAATATAAATATAGGTTTTACTTACTTGCTTACCAAACTAATTTAAGGTTTTAGTGAACAGATACACCACAGATGACAAATGGTCAGAGCCATTACTGATGGTTCGAATTCAGATTTACTATCTGATCTTGGGAATTTTTACTCCATCAACTAAACAGCTAATAGGACTCATGTTATTAAATTTTCAGGTTTTTGATCTTCAGATCATCAACAATTCTTGTCTATTTGATTATGACGAACATATTGCACTGTCAAACTGCCACATCATTACTTCATCTGCTAAATCCTGTTAGTCAAAGAACTTAACAGTTTATTGCTAATGACAAATTTCATACTCATTGTTCTCTGTACCACAAGATTGAAAGGACTCTCTTCCAAAGGTAGCTATAGTGCGTAGAGTAGATTTTCTACCAACGACCTCATATATTAGCTGCCACACTGACATTATACCTTAAACACACTGTCGATAAATGTTGAGCTACTGTTTCAGCGCCACTCCTAATTCCAAGCATACACAGTCCACAGCTGAACAAAATGTGTACATTCAACATCAAAGCCAGCTGGCCCGCTACAGTGACTAAGACCCTGACAAACCTATCTGACAGCTGCGTCAGATGGTGAGAGGCACACAGGAGCAAATTCAGACTATCTCCTATATTTAGACCAATATAAGCGAGGACAATTTAGTCCACTGGGCACACTACATCATGATGACATTTTCTAAATCTCTACTAGTGTCTCTTCAAATCCTAGGTCCTTTTTTTGCCCTAAATATACACGAATCCAACATATCAATAATAAGCCAATACTTTGAGATTTCAGTTAGTTTATCGGTGTGCTCTTGTAATAATCTGTCAATGCATTGCAAGCACACAAATATGAATATCATCCCTAGCTTCTTGAAAACATCTTGGCAAGCTCAATTTCCTCCTTTTAAATACAGGTGGGGTGAAGGCCATTGAAACATACTCAACAAATAGTCATGTCATCAGTCATCACTGAAACAAGACACCAGCATTAACATCCAAACACTGGTGCTGTACTACATCAGAGCCTTTTGAACCGAGCACATTAATTCTGTTGCTGCAGAAAGATGTGACAATTTTTTACATGCATCTTCTGAACATCAAGCACGACTCCGTTTCTAGCTCGCATTGTCACTCACCATGTCAGTAAATCCATCAGTGAGGCTTGCACTTTAAAACTTAAAACAGGCTTCTGTACATTGTACACATGAATGAAATATATATAAGCAGGCTTATCTGGTGGGAGGCTGTTACGCCATAATTATTTTTTTACTTTGCACTCCCCCATTACATACTGCATAACAAACCGGTGCTGGAATACAGCACATGATACATGAGATGTTACTATCATCATTAACCTGTTTCTCCAATAATTTTGTAGTTTCAACCACTAACTGCAGTGTCAATATTAATGTATCACTTTGCCTCTTCTACTTAAATGTAAATCTTGAGTCCTGTAAGTCCCGTAATTGTCAACATTTACTCGCAAGTGATTACAAGACCAGGAAAGAGTATGAAAAGATCAAGACAAGATGGGAGCAGAAACAAATGTCACATGGCCAGGTGGGAACATGAATTAATAAAATCAGGATTTGCTAGGTTGGGAGGAGAACTATGTGTATGCACCTTTCACCCTTTCCCTCAGTCTTGAAATGCTTCTCATTCCAGGCCTTGTTCAATCCACAATCTCAGTGCTGTCTTCTCTTCTGACCCTCGCTCAAATATCCTCATTAGTTCAGATATATATTGTGGTTTCAGTAGGCAAATCCCCACATACTCAGTAGGTGGTTTCAACACAACCTGACTCAGATCACTTAGGTGTTACAGATCATTATCATGTCATTTCACACATGCACACATCTTTTTGCTACTAGTAGTTAAAGTTAGTGTTACTGGAGTTAGAACCTTGAGAACTAAGAAATACTTGTTAATTTTACTTAAGGAAGGCATGAGACTAGTTTGCTTTATTTGGAATGAAACAGTGGCCATTTTCAAAATTTTGTCCCCAGACCTCAGAGGTAAGAACTTCAGACCTTCACCTGATGAAGTCATCACATCAAACTGAGTGAAAAACTGAAGTGAAAAACTTATTTTGCAGCCATCTCACTAATGAACAGATAGATCTGTGTCCCCTGGCTGTCACACCTTTGTGACTTCCAATGAGAAGAGTTGGTCACTGCCTGTTGGCAGGGGACACTGCATGATTGTGCAGTGCAGTAACACATTTATGCCAAAAGAGGGAGCTAGTGTTTTAAATATGAACCACGAACTGCCAGTGCAGAGTATTTCAGAGACATTTTCACAGTGTTGTGATGTGATAATAATCAAACACTGTGTGAGTAACTTCTTCTGGGACTAACTGCAGTGCCTTCTGCAGAAGTATCAGTTCACTCATATCACACAATTTTACACTTATGTGTACTTGTATCTAGCCATGCAAACAGTTTTGGTTTTATATGTCCAAGTTTTGTGATATCCCTCCTCTCAGACTTTGGCCTCAAAACCAATACGAATGAGGAGAATGGAATTTTGTTTGTGGTGCTCACAGAACTGCAAAATGACTTAAACAAATTTTAAACAGCAACAGACACAGTATCCCTGTTACTCTGAATAATCCACAGATGGGGTCTACTTCGTCAGTAGAGAGTAATTCCAATGAAAACTGTTCAACAAACAACAGCTGTTCTTACCTTCTTGTTGGAAGAGCTTTGGTGTGTACAACCCGAGTCCAGGTTGTTATTGGGGGCAGACACATTGTTCCTGAGAGAGGGAGACCGTGGCCCTTCCTCCCCTTCTCCTTCCTCCTCCTCTTCCTCCTCCCTCCCACTCTCCACCGAATGTTCAAAGTCATCACTGTCTTGGTCCATCTCTTCCTCGTCCTCATCCTCCTCCTCTTCCTCCTCGCCCTCTTCCCTCTCCTCTTCCTCCCTTCCCTGTTCCTTCCCTCCCTCTGTCCTCTCCTCTGCCTCCTCCTCCTCTTGGTGGCTGCTGCTGTTGTTGTTCTCCTCCTCTTCCTCCTCCTCCTCCTCGTCTTCGCCCAGCGGCTGACCTCGCAGTCGTCTCTGCTCTGTCTCCCACATCCATCGGGCTCCTTTCTCCCCTCCGTTCACTTCGTTTGGCAGGCCATCTTCATCTTCTTCTCCTTCCTCCTCTCCACGAGGGCCATTGCTGGCTCCCGACTCGCTGGGCGCCCATGATTGTTCTCTCCCACCGTCAACCTGTGACGCCTCAGGCTGTGACAAAAAAAAACAAAAAAAAACAAAGTCTCTGAGGAAAGGACTGATGAAAAATTCCATCTGTTGCACTTATAGTTTCCCTAGCTCCTGTTTTGTTACCGATGTGCAAATCTTGTGCAAGATTTCAGGACATTTCCATAATTATATGACTTGATTACAATTTGCTAATCGACTTTGGAGCTGAAGGTTTACATCTCATATGCTTCTTTATCACTATATCATAACTTCTTGACTGTCAGTTGGCCTTACCCTCTGCTGCAGCTGCTCTTCCTCCTCTACTACCCGGTTCATGTGCTCATCCTCATCGCCCTCCTCTGCTGCCTGCTGGGGTGCCCGGGCTGTGGAGGAGGCGTTACCTCGCACTGCCGGACCCCCCGGCCCTCGACTCCGCCTGCTGCTGCTGCCCCCCGACAGCAGATCCTGGTTCATTTCCAAAAGCCAGCTTGCTACCTCCTGGACCTTCGCTAGGCTGTCTGAGGAGGAGAAGGGCTTGACATTCTGCAACACAAAAAATTAAGACGTATGATTAAAATATGTAAATTGTTTTCCTTTGTATATACTTAGCTCGCGTTTGAGGAAAAAATCACTCAACTGTTATAGAATAAAGACTCTTATTAGAGATCATTTCATACGGACAAACACATGCTCAGCAGCTTTTTTTCCTCCAACAGAAAGTGTGAATATCTCTCTCCGTATTCTATTCTTTCCTCTGAATAAAAACAATGGACATTAAACATTTGCTCTTGGAGACACTTGTGCTGCTCAGCAGCAGACAAGGAAAAAAGGTGGGAGTGATTGTGTTTGGCTTCAGATCACACAGCATTGGATGCTCTGCCTCACATGCAGTCGGATGGGCAGAATAGCCTTGAGAGCTGCTAGTGTTCCAACATCCAACAAAGCCAATAAACAAAGTCCAATCTGTCAAATACAAAAGCAAAGCACTGCATGGCACCAGAAGCTTGTCCAACAATTGTCTTTAAGATTTGTGTAGTCTACAAGCTTAGGAAAAATGAAAGACATTTCGTTTATCTTCTTAATCTGCTGTGTTGCTGCTATGCATTCACCAGTTTATGATGGAAAACCTACTGCATGAACACACAAGTCACGTAGCTTTCTTCAAAAATATTTCAAATTATATATGGAACTGAGGGATAGGCACTAGAGCTTTATCTACAATGAGACAGCTTCACCTTCTGACGCAGAGTCACAGATGCAGCAATGCAGACAAGAATCCAACTCGAGCAACAGGACTAATCTGTGACCATCAAAGCATCAACTCTCTTGAGCCAAAGTTACTTTCTGTCCATGTGCTGGCATTTACAGGAAAAGTCAGGCAGATGTAATGCTGCAAGACAGCGATATGTAGTTATGCTATTAGAAATGACACATCCAGGCAAAGGAGACTGTGGAGGGAGACGCAAGCGCACACTTAACATCGGAAATGTTAATTGAGTGAAAGACAACGCAGCTGCAATCACTACTAGGGATGCACTGACCTCTCTTTTTCTCTCCAAATAGTCATATCTGAAGTCAGGGTATTTGCTAACACCGAGTATCAATTCAATCACAGCCATCATTTTTCTATTTTCCAATTCAAAATACACACCTCTCCGTCAAGAACCTGTTGGTTCCTAAGCCCTCCAAGTGTATGGTTACGCGAGGCCGTATCACTTCTTAAATACGCTTATATACATACACACCAAAGATTCTTTATTCTTCATCTGCACAATCACTCAATCAGGCTGCAGCAAAAAAAAAAAAGGGGGGGGGGGGGGTTCCATTCTTATTTTATTGATAAGGCATATAAAAGTAAATACAACTACTACCAGTGTGCAAGGGCCAATAAGTTTAGCATAACATATTGATCTTCTGCATGATGTTTATCTTAAAGCAACTGTAACTTATAACTATACCAAATCTTGTATTTTCTTGCAACTTTAAATGAGAGTTTAAAGTTTCAGAAAAGATTATAAAATTCACAAGCATGTGGGGAATGTATTGCTTATTTAAAATGTATTGTTTATTTGTAAGCAGGCAATTCCATTGAATGTTAATGCAAATTGTTTACTAGAAGCTTTGGTTTCAAACAACGACCAACCTTTTGAGGATACATTTGTAGTCAAAAAAGGCAAAAACGGCTTATGTAAATAAAGGTAAGTGGGATGTGTGACCCGTGGATCTGTCCGGTCCAAATGGTAAATTATAAAAATTTGTAATATCAAATAAATGATAGATATTCTGCAAGTCATAAAAACATATCAACCACAGATTGCTTTCCAGTGTCTCACAAGGCAGTTAAAACATCATCATAGTTGAACACACACCGTTTCCTTCCTTCACATAACTCGGTAAATTGTGATTTAGACACTTATGATGGGCATGCTGTTAAATAAATTATCAAAGTAGACTACAGTAAAGATAAAAAGGTTTTTCAAACAGTTGTGAACGACACAGAGGAGGACAGTTTGGCCCAGATTTTTCAGACTAACCATTCATCAATTAACAATACTTTGAGGTTTTCAGCTTTTCTAAATCAGTCGACTGGCTGTTGGGCACATTGAGCTTGGAGGTTCATTACTGATAACACATTGCATTAGAAGAAGTTTATTTTTGTCTGTTAAATTGTATATAATCTTGGCTAATGTAGCCTTGAAAAGATGCCAATGGGTCTTTTCAATGCCCACATGCAGTCTCTAGCTAATCTTAACTATGACAAATTAACAATCTGCAGTCTGCAGTTTCAAATCTCTTCACTATACTACATAAGAGATGAGAAAGTATTTTTGGGAGGCTCACGTACTTTGTCTGTTTCAGTGCAAACCAATTGCTTTGACCTTGAGAAAAAGTCACTGGTCCCTTTGCAAGGCTTCTCCTCCTCTTTGCTGTATAGTCCCAGTGCTGTGGTGGGAAGCATTAGCCTGATCTCAGATTGCACAGCCCCCCACCCCACCCCACCCCCACCCCCCCGGGACTGCCAGTTCATTGCTGTGAGCTGAGAAGAGGAAGGCTATGAATAGCTAAAGTTGTCCGTGCCTTTTACCGGAACAACCAAGGTTCCGTAATTAGTTTCCTAAGCACAGCATGAAATTTGTTTGTTGTTATTGTTGTTCAAACAATTGTGAGCGGTGCAAACAGGGTGAGAGAGACTGACGCACAATTAAAGCATGACACGTCTCTGCTGGAGAAACGGGACAGACGTTAAACACTCAGTTCTGATTCCTTTTTTCAGCTTTGGCGTTCTTGATCAAAAGCAGCAATTATAAAAAAGAAAAAAGAAAAAGTGTTATCTTAAAGTAATTTTCCTAATCACGTCATTATCATTCACCCTTCCGTCGAACAGCCACTTGACTCAAATGTCCACTTAAATGGCAAGCTAAAAAAATCATTTCTAAATATCAATGTGAACAATTATACAAATTGTTCTTCCCTTGAAGCACATAAAGCTGTTGAGCTGGTGTTTTTGTTCAGAGAATATATAGAAAGATGATATTCCACTAATGCTTGTAGTGAACAAAGACTCTGTGCATGTCCTTTAGTATTGCACACACAAGTTTCATTCATCAGTCTCTATTCTTAGTCCTGCAAGAGCTGTGAAGTGGACAAAAATAGCTTTGGGAAGCTGGGGAGGGCAGGTGTGAATGTGTCTCCTGGAGCAAACAGGTGACACAGGTGCCCTGGAGATAGAGAGCCTCTGCAAACAAACACAGGAAATAAGATTGTTTTTTCTTTCAAGTTATGGGATAATGATTAAAGACAGCCTTGTTCATCATTTAAAAAAAAAAAACATTGCTACAACTATTTATTTGAGAAACAAGGGCCAACAAGCACCATCTGGTGCATCTGAAGATCTACTATATAGTCTCTACTCTAATATGTAAAATTAAAAGATAATTAAAGCTGCTCTAACCAATATTTTTTATTAACATTGGACCAACTAGCTTGTGTAATGTGAAATGGGTCACTGTTAGTAACAAACCCAATGAGAATTACCTTTAACTCTGCAGTTCCCCTCAGTCTTACAGAGCATTTTTACATCTTCCAGCTCATCGTTTTGGTTTTCCAGCCCACAAACTCCACTCGTCTATTTTTAGACAAAAAGCTCTGATAAACCCACTGTATGCAACTAGCTGGTGAGCATAGTGAAGCATTTAGCAATTAAAGAGCTAGACATTTTGTCTCTGCCAACTTATGAGAAGAGACAAAGCTGAGAGAGTGAATATTGGACTTGCATCCAAAGCGCAGAAACACAACTCTGTATAAAAAGTCAACTGTTCAACAACTGTTCATGTTCACTTTGTAAAGTGATGTTAATGGTGTATTTACTGCTTTATCCAATGCCCAAAGTGGCTAAATAAATAAATAAAAATGAGGGAAAAAAAGTCGATTAATCCAGCTTTAACAGAAACAAAGTTTTACTTACTTTAAAGCTGTTGTGCAACTTAAATAAATAAAAGCATATCTTGCATGCATTCACTCCCTTTACCAACTAGTTTGAGACATGCCAAGTTAGACACCATCTCCTTAATTGTGCCCTTAAGCACTTTATTTTCAATGGTGTTTACTGGCCAAACGATTCCTCCTTTTCTTAGAATAATAAGATGTATGTAGACCAGCATTGATGGTGTTTGCCCAGCAGTCTGGCAGTGCAACATACATCCAGACAGTCCCTGGAGTA